CCCCAAAACCCCAAAACCCCAAAACCCCAAACGTCAAAACATAATAGTAAATAATTAATCCTAAACTCTTGCTCAAAATGATGAAGATTCTTGTAAGCTCGTGGGCTAACCTACTAGGTTGTCGGTGACATGGGAACCGGCAAGACATGTATTATAAACAGATATGTTCATGATAGATTCAATGATAAGTCCAAACCAACCATTGCTTGTGAGTATGCAATGAAGTTGTTCCAGCTCGATGATATTACTCTCAGGATTAACCTCTGGGACATTGGTAAGCCCTTTTCTAGTTGTGATGAGTCTCCTTGGTTCTGAGTTCTCCGAAATAATTCTTTGAGGGGAAGGTTCAAGGAGCTTGTTAGGTTAATGGAAAATTATCCAAATCTTTTGGGTTAGAAATCGGCATTAAAATCTAATCCTGCCTATTTTCACAGAACACCTGCTAATTTTATCATAGCTGGCCAAGACAGTGTGGGAGGTGTCAACAAAGTCTTCTGCAGACAAGCTGCTGGAGCCGTTATTGTTTGAGACTGAACAGATCAATACTCAGTCGAGAACGCAGCAAAATGGAAAGATCAGTTAGATGATATCTGATGTGCTAATGATGATCTTTCGAAATTTCCAATCATTCTCATGGCTAACAAGTATGACTTAGTCAGGGAATGCGAGGAAGAGAAGAAAGCAGATGACCACATGTCGCAATAGAGTAAGCTTTTTCTAGAAACTTTATCTTCCTAAATTCCCTCATAAACATTAAAATTAGGTACTTTGACACCTTCGCTTCGAATAATGGATTTGTTGGCTGCATGAGAACCTCAGCAAAGGAGAATTATAACATTAATGAGGCATTTGAACTATTGGTCCAAAAAGTAATTGAGGCTAACACCACCATCAACAAAGATAATGGAAATCCAGAACTCAACCTCAACAAGGTATGCATCTTCTCCCTTGTTCTCAGGGAATAATAATTCTGTTATAGATTGGAAAGACGAGAAGGACAGAGGGGATCCGGCTCACTGTAGATACCAGCTCTATTCTATCCAAGCCTAACCAAAGCATTGCGTCTAATAAAAAGAAGAAATGCTGATAATCAGTCATATTTTGCTAAAAATTACCCGCATGTATATAGGTTTTAATATTTTCCAGCTGCTGTTTAATTTACATAAAGCTGCTTGGCCAAAACATGTCTTCGCTATAATTAGGCAACTTACATTCCTGAATTAATAAGTTGGGTAAGCCTCCTTGTTCGGTTTTATACTAATTAGAGGTGATACTCCATTCCAAAGTATTCTCTAGTGTAACATTCTTATGATTGGTGAGAAATCAATGTAACATAAATAGAACTAATAAAAATAAATCGGATATTAGCATGTCTACCATCAGATAAGCCTCAGAAATATGTTACTGGTGCATTATTCTTGTTGCCTATCTTCTTTTCTACTAAACTTCTTGGCCCTGGGGTTTTGGGGTTTTGGGGTTTTGGGGTTTTGGGGG